AAAAAAAAGTCATTACTTCTTCCTCATCTGGAATGACTTCAATTCTTTTCAAATCAATCCCAAGGTTGAAACAATATTTAGCTGAATTATTCAATTTGTCTGAGTAATCAGCAGATCATATAAAAAAAAAGAAAAAGAAAAAAGAGAATACCAAAGAATCCAGAGTTAGTATCTACAGTTTTTCCATTGAGAATTTCATCACCAATCACTAAACAGGCTGCAGTTTTTGGAAAAGGTCTATGTTGTAATTCTGAATTCGGTGTTATAGGTAAGACGGTTAATTTTTCTTCTCGTTTAGGTTCTGCCATTTTGTGATGCACTTAGGCTGCTCTCGTATACATTGGTATAAATACAAACATGAGTACTGTACTACGTTGAACATAGATAATTAAGAAACGGCTGCAAATTGTCGTCATCGTTATACGTAGAATTAAATAAAATGCCACCATAAGAGGAAATTGTACATATATATATATGTTTTTTTTAACTGATGATCCGCATCATCAGTTAAAACATTATTACAGTATTGTAAGTCGTCGTTATTGGATATTGATGTTGTACGTCGGAATGGAATTTATCTTGAAATGGAATTCCAAATCTAAGAAGTTGATACGAAATCTAAAAGCACCTTATTTTGATTCTAAATTTGAAATTATATAGCATTGTAATAAATATGCAGTTTGATGATATAACAATAGTTAGATTACATCTTGCCGTTATAATAAATTGTAAATGCAAAATGCAAATTGATGATTATTTTTTTTATTCTTTACAACTCTTTCTATTGAATCTTTATTATTATTATGTTAAGCTAGCCTCTTAGGAGTCAAAATATAAATTTGTACGTATTGTTTGTACGTAAATTTAATACGCACGTATAACGCTAATGCATATCGCAAGTCCGGATTGATCGACAAAATTGTGCTCTAAGAAAAAAAAAAAAAGGTTTTTTATGACTATTAATAAATATAATATTTCATCAGGTCCAACTCATGATGATATAACGTATGCATCTATTGCTCGTGCATTTGATCTTCAATTAAATTATCATCAACCGACAATGGACCGAATGAAAGAATTTATAAAAAATACACCTCAACTGAAAGTGTTTAGGAATGAACCCAAAGAAGTTATGGAAGCAAGTAAACGAATGACATTATTTCCACAACCATCATTAGTTGTTTATCCTAACGAAAAGCTTTGGGTTCCAATAGTTATTGTTAATAACAATGTTCATATTTTACCCGGTATTCCAAGTTTATTCAGAGGATTATTATCAGGATATCGCAAGTATCTTAAAGGAAGAGGAAAAATATTTGTGAGAAGGTTCATTAAAACCTATCAACCCGAATCATTTATCGCACCAATTTTAACCAAATATCAAGAGAAATTAAAAGATTTTGGAATAAAAATTGGTAGTTATCCAAAATTGACTAGGGATAAGGCTTGGGTTGTAGTTAGTCTTTTGGCTAGAGAAACCAGTCCACAAGTTGTAGAAAAAATTGAACAGGCAGCAAAAGAAATAGCAGAAAAAATTGATGGTTTAATTATTGAAGATTCAGAAGGTGAAATTACCGGATTTGAAAAAACTAATAAGATTAGTAAGCTTTAGTTATCGCTCATTACAGCAAATTTTTACACATGAATTAAATTATTTATCGATATTTTGTCAATGTATACTGTATATATTTAATATTTAAGGGATATACTATCAACCAATTTTATAGATGGATTTGACTCGATAATTATATTATGACGGTGAAACCCGCGCAGAAATAGTTACATTATTGATCTAAAATAGTAACTAGCCCTAATTAAGTATAGATCCGCATCAAGCACCTCTGCGCGGATTTCACCCTTTCATATTGTATTTATCAGATTTGACACGTAACAATGGCTCTACTACAAAATCCCGACATCCAAAATATCGAAACCATAATCCGAACGTGACAATTAAAATTTAAAGATTAGTAATCACATTAGCAATCATTGTCAGACTTTAAATTTTTAATTGTCACGTCGCGTGATGTCAGTATTA